GCTATTGTTGATACTGTAATTGTGCAAACCATTTTTTTCAATTATATAATTACATAATTGATTATATTTAATCAAATCATTTTAATTATATAACTAATTATCATACATATTATATTGTGATACATATGATTCACAGTCAAATAATCCTAAAAAGTTGTAGGTTATATGAAAGTCGACAAAATCGAAAGAAGGTGACCTAACTGAATCATTAATTGTGTATTCCATGATATTATGTTTCCTCTTCAAAATAGAGAAAGAGGCACTGTATTTATTTACAGTATGTATAATTATAAAAGTAGCGAGCTGAAGATAATTATAAATAATGTAATTATATTTTTAATGTTATGCGAAATGGACATTTTTACTACAGTATCAGATGGAAAAATATTAAGTATGAGAAAAAAATTAAAATAAGCTGGAAACAAGTTCCTTCCATTGAATTCGCACTTACTTTTCCGCCGTCCTCTAACCTAAATTTTAACTTTTACTGGTATACTTAGAAATTGAAAATAAATTACTTTATCATCCAATTTTTGATTATTAATACGTATTATTCAGTTAATTCCATTTTACACCTACATATAATTAAAAAAATTATATCGACAATAAATATTAATGTAATATTATTAATAGGTACAAAGTATCATGTTTATTTATTTAGTAATATTAATGTAATAATATATATTTCTAAAAATAATGAATGCTGTTAAAGAAAAGTATAAGAAAGCTGTTTTGTACATAATTTTTTATACATATGCATATACATACGCTACCGTGCATAAGTGTTTGCTCTGATATAGTTTTGGCTTGCGATCTTATCCCAGGCGACCCACATAATGTTTATAAATACCAATGAAAATAACATTTGACATGAATTAGTATAAATGAAAAAACAATAACTGAAATCGGTGGAAAATTGATTTTGCGAAAACACCTGAGTTCGTCGATTTCAAGTGTTTGTCGAAAATTTAACGAAAGTTATTATCCCAATATGTTGTGCCAACGGTCAAACATGGAGGTGGTAATGTAATATTCTGGTGCAAATAAAATGGACAATTTAGTAAGAATAGATGGAATTCTACGAAAAGAAGAGTATTTAAATATCTGAGGTGGACACATAGACGAACGCAATATTTAATAATTTTCATTAATTTGTTGGTAAATTTATCATCATATACTACATCCTAGATCTTCTACACCTCGACGACGTTCATTGTTGCTGATTATAGGTAGAAATATTGCAATATAATAGTATACAGTCACGTTTTAAAAAGATCCTTTGTACTAGGTATACTAAATTTTTCTATCACCGAAATTTTGCATTACATATTTTACAACTAATACATAATTTCAATTTAAACAGCAAATATGTACACATGAAAATTTAGGTTAAGAAATAATTAGAATAAAGAAATATATTCATAAGTATTAAAAAAAAAGGTTATCGTATGGTGTCAAATGTTACGGTAGATATGGGGCACACAATACAACGTAATTTTTTTTATCATTTTTACGTATTAAATTTATTAATTAAAAATTGAGTGTAAATGATAGAAATTAGAATATACCAGATTAGAAATACAGCATGGTCATTGATAAATATTATCTATTATTCGTCACGGTTTAGACCTTCTGAGATCACTTCAAGATAAAAGATGTTAAAACAACAATAGTGAATTTATGGAATATTTAAATAAGACATAATTTAAGATAACAAGTACACATTAACAGGTACGCTTCTAACAAACACATAAATAAAATATTTATAACATCCCATATGGCATATCGAAAAGAGATACAAATATTTCTAAAAATGCAATTTTAGTTCATTTTCGTAAGAAATTAGATCTCTAGATCTCTAGAATCTCTAGAAATTAGAAATTATAAAAATTATAAAATTGAATTAATGAAAAATTATTTCATATATTGTATTAATATATTAGTATGGTACAATGTATTAAATTGAACATATAATCAAATGAAATTATTACAAAATAATTACTTTCTTCTTATATTAGACAAAAATATACTTGTGCTATACTATTTTCTTTGTATAAATAAAATGGAAGTCAAAGGTTATTAGCCTTAAGAACTGAAACGTGCATGCTGATTGGTTGTACCAAAGGGTGTGTGTGGTCGTGCCTCCCATCTTGAATTTTTACGTGTAAGTAGGCCAAAATATAACTACTTAGTCGTTATTAATAGAGTACTATTTTCTTGTGTGTTTACTACATTGATGAATAAATATAAACTATCAAAACATTACCACAATCGAGAGAAAATTCCAACGATGTGTAAGGAAATAATTTTTAGTGTAGATATAACTTTCACGAGCTGGTGCACAATGGTAAACCTTCAAATATCTCGATCCCAACACACCTCCCGTTGTACTGCCGTCAGTGCAACTTCTTCGTACCTAACACTCGATTCACTCTGGTTTTAACTCCCTCTCTTACGTTCATAATTGCAGTAAGCAACCAGGTTGCCAACTTGTTGGCTAAACTAAACTATAAAGCGCCAGGTACACTGCATCGAATACTTCTTGTTACGTGTACATACACATATAAACTATGCAATTTGTGTACATACATACTAAATATATTGCATCATGATAACGGCGGCAACTAAAATACTACTCATAATAAAAAAAAGATTTGTCTTTGCGCGCGTGTAATTACCATCTATTAAAATTTAATTCAATAATCAAAATGAACAGTATATTGTATTTATATTCAGGAAACAAAATATGATAACATTATATCTTTGAATTTATTATACCTATAATTATGATTAAGAGTAATAATATTGTTACACATTTAGATATTTGATGTGTTGATAATATAAACAATTTCATTTTTCATTTGAACAATAATATACAATATTATCATATTAAAAACTTTTGACGATATATACTTTTGTATTACAAGCGAAATATACAGTTCTTTACATATTCACTTAACTGACTAATATGCTATTACGTACAAAAACTCTTATTACGTACCATTTTATATTTTTATATTTTGTTTCTTGTTCAGTTAAATAATAGTTTTTTGTTATACTGCTTTTAAATATGTAATTATCAACACATAATATACAGTGTGATTATCGCAACAGATTGAGCAACGAGATATGCGTCTACGTGAGCACGTAATGTAAAGTACGTAATATTGGCAACACTGAAAGGTACAATCTTGTGTCTCCCCTTTCAAAAGGTATTTCAAAATAAATTTAACATTTATAGATTTGTATTTTGTGTATTATTATAATAATACATAGGTTATAGTTGTAACTGTTCAATTTATATAAGGTTTCTCACATTCATGTTATCTGAATTTCAGCATTATCAACTAAATCACACTTTGGTACCTACGTGGAAGTAATTACATAAAAATGGATTCAATAAGATTTGGATTGTTGACAGGTAAATATTTTTCATTACATCCTTATTTCACAACTATTTAAAATTTGTATTTTATGGTCTAGTTACTTATTTTCAATAAAATGCATTATTATGTACAGCTCAGTTTTTTATACAATGATATTAGATGATAAAGTTATTTTTTTGTACTATTAGAGTAATAATAGAAAAGAATAATTTGTTTAATTTATAATATCTGTAGCTATGTCTTAAGCATAAAATTCATCAACTTTATTATTAGTTAGTGATAGTTGTTACAAATATAAAAATGAAGATAAAAGTGGACCAGAAGTAGAACTATGTATTCATGACAAAAATTCTGAAATTGGAAAGATCTTAAAAGGTCAAGTATATCATAAAAATATTGTTCCAGATGAAGAATATGCAATAAAGGTAATTATTCATTATAGAATGTTATAAATACATTATAGATTATATGAATACAAATGTTTTTATACATTACATATTCTTAAAAATAATATTCTAAGTTAACTGTTCACATTTATTTATTATACATAGGAAAACCTAATTTCATGGAGTGATAGTAGACAAATAGATGTTATTTTCACAATTGGTGGCACAGGATTTTCCAAACGAGATGTAACTCCTGAAGCAACAAAACAAATTATTCAAAAAGAAGCACCTGGAATAGCTACTGCTATGTTAATGTCAAGCTTAAAAATTACTCCAATGGCTATGTTATCCAGGTATAAAATATTTAAAACTAAACTTAACACATAATAACATATTACATATAATAAAATTAAAGTTTAATATTTTCTTGAATAAAATAACTTTTTGCTTATTTTTGATTCTTTTATTTTCTTTAAAATATATTTACCTTTTAATGTAAGAAATGATAAAGTTGATTGAAGTAAGCAATGTAACAAGCTTTATTTAGCATTTATTCATTTACATACATATTTTATTAACAATAAATGTATTATCATTAAGAGCTGTATGTGGTATACGAGATAAAACACTGATTATTAATTTACCGGGGTCACCGAAAGCTGCAAAGGAATGCTTAAATGTAATTGCACCAGCTATCCCACATGCTGTTGATCTAATTAGAGACCATAAGGAAAGAATTAAAGATACACATGCAAATGTGCAAAATAATATTGCTACAGAAATTCCATTATCAAAAGGTTCAAATAAAATTTCGGTAAGATATTATTTTGCTTGTTGAATGAGGAATTTTCTGCATAAAAACAGTAAAAATTGTAAATAAATATACAGGTATATTTTTTTTCCATAGCCTTGTTTAGGAAGTATAATTGAACGCAATAGAGAATCACCATATCCAATGATTTCTGTAGAAGAAGCTTTACAATTAATATATAAACATACAGAACCATTGAATTCCAATTGTAAATTAGAAGAGGATTTAGAAAAAGCCCATGGCAAGATTTTGAATGGTGATTTATATTCTAAGTGTGATTTACCTCCATTCAGGGCTTCTATTAAAGATGGCTATGCAGTCTTAGCAAATGATGGGAAAGGCAGAAGGACAGTACTGAGTGGAATAAAAGCAGGAGGAATTGTAACTAATATTTCATAAATATTTTGGTATAAATATAATAAGGTTTCACATTTATGAATTTGTAGGCCACTGCAATTAAACTTCTACCTGGTACATGTGTAAGAGTAAATACAGGTGCCCCTATTCCAGATGGTATAT